TGTGTTGCTCTGTCACCCAGGCTGGAGTGCAGTGGCGTGATCCTGGCTCACTGCAACCTCCGCCTCCCAGGTTCCAGTGATTCCCCTGACTCAGCCTCCTGAGTAGCTGGGATTACAAGCGTCCACCACCACACCCAGCTAATTTGTTGTTGTTGTTGTTGTTTTTGTTTTTAAAGAAGGAGTTTCAGCATGTTGGTTAGGCTGGTCTTGAACTCCCAACCTCAGGTGATCTGCCCGCCTTGGCCTCCAAAGTGCTTGGATTACAGGCGTGAGAGCCACCACACCCGGCCATTAGTTGTATTTTTAGTAAAGATGGGGTTTCACCATGTTGGCCAGGCTGGTCTCGAACTCCTGACCTCAGGTGATCCACCTGCCTTGGCCTCCCAAAGTGCTGGGAATACAGTATGAGCTGCCACCACACCCAGCTTCGGTAGCTTCAGCTTTGTGTCAGCATCTGAGTATGTCATCCAGGTGTACAAAGGCAGGGCAGGTTCTGAGCAGTCATTTCCCTGCTATATGAATTCATCTTTCTGAGCCTCAGTTTCTACATCTGTAAAATGGGATGATTCATACCTTCCATGGTGGACTGCAAGAGAGAATCTGAGAATCCCATAGCCAGATCAGGGGCAGGAGAGACGCCAGAAAGATCCTCCGAGGAGGACGAGGAGAACAAAAGATACAGGCTGGGGCGGTCTATGGAGTTGGGGGCCCCATGGCCATGCTGACACACCTTCATTCCTTTCCCAGGAACTCCTTGAACAGAGCAAGTTTCCGAAAGGCAGACCTCTGAGCCCGCAGGGACCAAAGCTGCACCTACAGGAATGGGCACCCAGGCCTCAGCTGTCTGTGCTGGGAGGAGAGTCTCCTCTGGTGCCCACTGGGCTGTGGGGTGACCACATTGTACTTGGGGCTGGGCCCTCTGTCCCTGTGTCCCCATTTGTGTGCACACTGATGCTTCCTCCTCCCTTTTTTAATTTAAAATGGTTTTTATAAGCAACCTGTGCAGTGCGGTGCAGTAACTAGGGGCTGGGTCACATGCTCATCACATGCTCACAGTCCACACTGCCCCATGTCCACACATCCTGCATCATCGATGGAGACACCAAGAACCTACTGGGTGCCAGGGACATCATAACAACAGACACAAATGTCACACGCTTAAGGGGAATAATAATGCCTGGTTTTTTGGTTTTTTTAAGAGACTAGTGAACTACTTTTCAGCATGACTAAATACCATGTTACTTTCTCAACAGAAGTTTATGAGAGATTCAGTTTCTCAACATCCTCAAAAGCATT